ACAACAACAGCTACCACTCTTCGATCAAGATAGCCCCGTACGAGGCTTTGTACGGACGTAAGGTCCGGACTCCTTTGTATTGGGATGAGGTTGGAGTGAGGAGGATTATGGGTCCGAAGTTTATCTAGAGTACTGCGGCGACAGTCGAGGAGATCCGGAAGACCATCAGGGCTGCCCAGGAGAGGCAGAAGGTCTATACCGACCGGAAGAGGCAAGAGCATGTGTATGCAGTTGGAGATCATGTCTTCTTGAAGGTATCACCCATGAGAGGTGTGATTCGCTTCGAGAAAAAGGGGAAACTTAGACCTCGCTATATCGGGCCATTTGAGATCCTTGCTCGAGTCGGGGACTTGGCGTACCTGCTGGCTTTACCACCGGACTTGTCGGGAGTGCACGATGTGTTTCATGTCTCGATGCTTCGGAGATATGTGCATAATCCTGATCATGTGGTGGACTTCGGCGAGCTGCAGGTCGAGCGAGACCATACCTATGAGGAGGTACTGATAGCCATCTTAGACCAGAAGGTCCATCAGTTAAGGAACCGAGTAGTGAGTTTGGTGAAGGTGCGTTGGAGCCGGCACGACGAGTCGGAGGCGACTTGGGAAAAGGAGGCCGAGCTTAGGAGGCGATATCCGAACTTTGAGTTTTAAGTTCCCCTTTGTATTTTATTGCTATCTAGTTTATTTTCGAATTCCGAGGTCGGAATTCTTTGTAAGGTGGGTAGACTGTAACGCCCCGTTTGGTTATGAATAACTGAGATTATTTATTTTGCATAATTTTATTATTATTATTATTATTATTATTATTATTATTATTATTATTATTATTATTATTATTATTATTATTATTATTATAGTCATTAAATATCTAATTGTTTTAAATGCTTATTATTCTTAAATAATATTATTGTGTGTATATATATAAAATGTTCGGTTTTATTTTAAGTCGTATTGTCGCGTTTTCTTATCGAGCTTTGAGTTGTTTATATTTTTTCGGCCCGAGTAATTGGATTATCCGGCCCTTTTACTTTTCTACCTTTGAGTTATGGTTGGCCCAACTTCCTTGTTTTTTTTTTCCGAAACGACAGGAACAACTATATTAAACTCAAAAGGGCGAACAAAGTTCGAATTACAACACATCAAACCGAAAACTAAAAATGAGAGACACGCCATAAGCGGTCTAGAACCTCAACACAAAGAAAGAAAACTACAAAGCCAAACCAACAACAACAATCATCACTAAAACCAAACACCTGCCACTGCTCCAAGAGCCTAGCAAGGGAAAACAAAAGGGAAAGGAAACAAACCAAAATGACTAACAAGGAAGAAAAACTAAACTGCCAAAGCAGAAGCAGCTGCAGAGAACTCCATCCAATCAGTGAGGGCCAATTTAACTAGGATGGGCTCTGGGATGAGAGTTTTTTGAAAAAGCCACAAGTTCCTGGATTTCCAAAGCCACCAAAGCATGTAAGTGGTGAGTTGGATTCGAGCTTCAGCAACTTCAGATTTATCCAGTGAGCAAATGTGATACCACCATGTCTTAAAGGAGTCAGTGCAGCAAAACAGGCCATCCCATTGGAGAGGACTAAGCTTCCAGCAATTGATGGATCTGCTACAAGTGAAAAACAAGTGTTCCAAGGATTCAGCAGCTTCACCACAGATGGAACAAGTGGTGTCAAAGTCAATGCCTCTCCTGTTCAGATTAGCAGCTACAGGCAGGGATCCAGAGATGCATTTCCAAATAAAGTGCTTGACCTTGCCTGCAATCTTCAACTTCCAATGTCTGAATGAGATGGATTTTTTGGTGATAGCGGAAGAGCTGCATTCTGGGATGTCCAAATTCTGGATCTTGAGAGACATGAGGTGTGAGTAAGTCTGGGAAACAGAAAAGCAACCCTTTGTATTCAAACCCCAATATAATCTATCATTTCTGCTCTGGGATAGAGAGGATATGCTCAGGATTGCATTGCTATCAACTTCATCAAAAACTTGCCTCACTAACCAGTTATTCCATTGAGTGCCTTCATCATTCAGTAAGTCTTTAACCCAGATCAAGTGATCTCTAGCAATAGGAATGAGAGAGGGGCTGGGTCTACTATAATTAGGAATCCAGTTCAGATCAGATATTCTGGTGTTCTTGCCATTTCTGATTTCAATTTTTAACCATTTAGCAAAGAAGGGTATATTGTGCATCCAGCAGTTCCACATCCATGATCCACTGGGATTTCTAGAGGCATTAACCAGAGAAGAGTTAGGGTAGTACCTGTCCTTGAGGATTCTGCTTACTAGAAGCTCTGGATTTTAGGCAATCCTCCACAGCTGTTTACAGATCATTGCTTTATTGAAAAGCTGGAGGTCAAGGAAGGATAGACCACCATTCTCTTTAGGGAGGGAGAGGAAATTCCAATTTCTCCAATGGATTCCTTTAGCCTGATCAGTTCCAGATTTCCACCAAAATTTTGCACATAAACTTGTAATTTCAGAGCAGATTGACACTGGCAGAGTGAAACAAGCCATTGTATAGACTGGAAGAGCTTGGATAATAGCTTTGAAAGGACTTCCTTTCCAGCAGGGCTAAGAAGCTGAGATTTCCAAGATGTGAGCTTAGCTCTGATTGAATTCACTAAGTAAGCAAAAACTTCCTTTTTGGATCTGCCAATCCCCAGTGGCAATCCCAAGTATTTAGTTGACCTGTGAGAAGTAATATTGTTCAGAGAGCTGCAGATTGATCTTTGAAGGTGGAGGGGTGTATTTCTACTGAAAAATACAGCAGATTTTTGGAGATTAATAGCTTGACCAGAGAAGAGTTTGTACTGCTCCAGAATGTTCATGAGAAACCCAGCTTGGTCAACCCCAGCTTTAAGGAAAATCAGAGAGTCATCTTCAAAGAGAATGTGAGACAGCACAGGCCCATTTCTGGAAAGTTTCATTCCTTTAAGCATGCCAGAGGAGATTGAGTTGTGAATGAGAGCAGTAAGCAATTCAGTGACAATAAGAAAGAGGTAGGGGGATAGAGGATCCCCCTGCCTAATTCCCCTAGAAGGTAAAACATAACCACTGATGCTTCCATTAATCTTGAAGGAAAAGGAGGCAGAAGTAACACAAATCATAACAAGCTTCACAAAATCACTATGGAATCCCATTTGAAGCATAATTTTCTTTAAGCAGAGCCATTCAACTCGGTCAAAAACTTTAATAAGATCTAACTTGAGGGCCATGAAAGAATTAGGACCAGAGGAGTGCCTGTTCAGGAAGTGGAAAGCTTCTTGGGCAATTATCACATTGTCAGTAATATGTCTACCCTCAAGAAAAGCAGCCTGATGCTCACTGATGCAATGTGGCAAGTAGGCCTTGAGTCTCTGAGCTAAGATTTTGGATATGAGCTTGTAGACTACACTACAAAGGCTTATTGGTCTGAATTGACTCAAATTATCTGGGTGGTGACATTTGGGAATAAGGGATAAGACAGTGTGATTCCAATATTTGAGGATAGTACCTGATTGGAAGAAACTGTGGACTGCCTTCATAAGATCAGATTTGATTAAGCTCCAGAAATGTTGATAAAAGGCAGTTGTCATTCCATCTTCACCAGGTGATTTATCAGGCTGAAAACTGAACAAAGATTGTTTGACTTCATCTTCATCAACAGGTTTGAGGAGGGCAGTGTTCATGTCTTGAGTTATGGTCTCTGGAATTAGGTGCAGAATGGATTTCCAACCCCAACTGCCCTCAGTAGAGAAGAGATTAGTGTAGAATTTAGAGATATGGGATTCAATCTCAGCTTGAGAGGAGTGGACTCTGCCTTGGTTTGAAATGAGCCTGGTTATTGCATTGAGTTTTCTTCTCTGGAGAGTATAGGCATGAAAGAATTTGGTGTTGGCATCCCCTTCTTTTAACCATCTGTACTTAGCTTTTTGCTGCCAGTGGAGTTCCTCCAGAGAGTGAGCCTTGTTTAGCTTTCTTTTTGTCTCTTCCCAGATTTCCCAGTTTGTTCCCTTGTCATAAGTATTGAGATCTTCCATTCTCTGAGTAAGTTCAGATATTTCTTTCTGCCTTGTGGATTGAAAAGAAGAACTCCAGATGAGGATAGCAATCCTGGTATTCTTGACCCTCTCCTTAAGCTGAAAAAAAGGGGTACCAGTGACTGGGGACTTCCAAGCAGCAGTAACTATATCGAACTTCTGGGAGTATTGGATACAGCTGCATTGGGGTAAGAGTGAGACCAGTCAAGAGAACCAAAGGCTCTGTCCAGCTTTTCTTCAACCAGAGCAGGAGGAGCTCTGTTGTTACTCCAAGTAAAAGCATAGCCATTTGATTGAACTTCCAGCATGTCCATTTCAGATACAAAAGAGTTAAAACCCAAAAGGCTAAGGGTTGGTCTGTTGGTTCCACCTGATTTCTCTGAGTTTGAGAGGATGTCATTCCAGTCTCCAATGGAGAACCAAAGAGATCCCCATTTTTTTTTAGCTGCCAACAATTCTTCCCTCTGAGTCTCTCTGATAACTTTGCAGGGACTAAGATAGACAAAAATTCCCCATTGAAGGGGGTGGGGGTGCAGCTGGAATTCAACAGCAATAAAATAATTTTCACAGATAATTTGACTAATAACTATGTGAGTATCCCACATCAAAACAAGACCTCCACAAAGGCCTATTGGGTCAACTATAGCAACCCTATCATCAAAACCTAACTTTTTACAAACCGAATTAACAAAAGCAGATTGTTTTTTAGTTTCTGAGAGGAAGATAAAATTTGGATGGTGAGCTTTCTTGAGCTCTCTGATTTGGGAAATTGTAGAGGGCCCACCCAGCCCTCTACAATTCCACACCAGAGCTAACATTTATCCTGGTGGTGCCATTCAAGGCTGGCAACCCCCACCATTTCCGGATTAGCTTTTTGCTTTTTAGATTGAACCTGCTTATGAGTGTTGGAGTCCTCTGATTGGTCTGTTGGCTCCAAGACTTGTCTGTCTCTCTTTCCATTAAAAAACTGGTCAATAACAATAAGAGCTTCATTGGTTCTGAGAAGCCTGCCCATCCTTGTGCCTGATCTTCTCCAAGATTTGAGAGGCTGGGATTTAGAGATTTGAAAGGATTTTCCCGGTGAAGAAAGATCTGTGACTAGAGCTGTGTCTCCTGTTTCTACTTCCATGATAGAGGATTCCACAATCTGCAGATTGGCTACTTCATGTTCCTCTTCTTCATCTCTGCTTTGGTTGGCTGAGACCACAGATGGTGCCCCAATAGATTTAGCCGGAGATTCTGTGTTTCCTATGCTAGGAATAATTTGATTCTGATCAGCACAATGGCTTGATGAGGCTCTTTGGGAAGTGCCATTGTCAGTAGCAATAGGAGATTCTGGAGGTGGGGATGATCTAGAACCAGATAAACTGAAAGTACTCCCTCTGAAGCCATCGGCTGCCCTCATCCAATCACCATATTGTCCCTCTTGAAGGGAGTTGTTTCTGATATCCTCCATTTTTTTGAGACATCCCCTGTCCAAGTGACCCAATTTTCCACAATAGTGACATAGGTTGATGAGTTTCTCGTACTTAAATCCAACATTAACTAGTTGGTCTCCAAGTCTGACCTTAGCCATTCTGGGAAGAGGCTCATTCACATTCAAAGTAACAAGAAGCTTGAGAATCTTACCCCCATGATTCCCGGTAGTTGCAATAACCACATTCTTAACTTTATTGAAGGCTTGTCCTATCTTTAATCCCACTTCGGTACTGATCCAGTTTAGAGGAATGTTTTGGACCTGTACCCATAGATTGAGCTCCTGAAACCCTGGATGCTTGTTGTTGATACTTGCTTCCCATTCTTTAAGGATGATGTACTGATTTTCGAAGCTCCAATTTGTGCCATTGGCAACCTTCTTCATATCGTCACGGTTCTGGAATATGAATTGAAAATAATTTGGGCAGAGTTCCTTGACCTCCATGGGATGATTTAGCTTCCATATCTGCGACATTGCGCGTTTTATACCAATCCAACTTGCTGGTCTATCGCCAATTATTTTTCCGAATAGGCTTCTGTTGCATTCTTCGTTACTGAGTTTGATGTCTCCCTGCGCTATATCAAAGATTACAATGAGCTTTGAGTTATTTATATTTTTTCGGCCCGAGTAAATTGGATTATCCGGCCCTTTTACTTTTCTACCTTTGAGTTATGGTTGGCCCAACTTCCTTGTTACGACTTGGCCCAAATAACATCATTTTAGTGTCCATTATTTGATACTTGGCCCAAGAAAGAAAGAAATTACCTCACGTGCAAGTTTGGATCAGATATTTTCTTCTCACCTGCGAGACCGAGTCTTCATCTTCAACCGATCAAATTTGTTGCGATCTTTTCGCCATTCCCTCACATGTCCCGCATTGTCTTCTTAAGACTCGGTCGAGGCACCTCAGAATCATTTAAACGTCTCTCTTATCTCTTTTCTCTCCCTCATCGAAGTTATTAAAAAAAAATCAGTACCTGCAACTTCAGTGAACCTCCATTATTTTCGGCGGAAATCATCGCCGACGTCCACCGGAGCAACCAGTAGTCAACTCCCTTGAGCCAGCAGCTTCCGTTCCTCCACTCGAGCCAGCAACCGACATTAACCATTAAAGTTGACGAAACCTTTCACTACCGGCGAATAACCCCGACGACCTGCAACTCTTCACTGGCGTCCAATCCAGTGAGTTGTTGTTCGCGAGGAGACCCCTTAGCCCCGTGTTAAGAGTTGCGTTCCGTCGAGCCTCCGTTCACCCTGTTCGTCCAACCCGCTTTCCGATAGCTCGTATATTCCCAAAGTCGAGTAATCTTTCGAACCTCCTCGTTATATTTTTGTGTATATTCGTTGAATATAACCGTACTCTTTGAGTCGATTTCTAGTTAAGTGATCGGTTTTTCTATCGGTCTGTTTATTCGTTCTTGGTTTGTGTTCGTGAATTATTCGTGGATTATCGGAACTTTCGTTTATCATATAAATCAAGTCTTGTTGCAACTGTGATGAATTCGTTCGAATTCCGAGTATCGATTTCATGTCCGAGTCGTCGTTTGTATATATGTGTTCGGTTGGGGCCGATTATGTCGTTTCCCATTTTCGATCCTTATTAACCTGTTTTATTAAATTTCGGAACTCTGAAAAATATGTTATTGTTGATGAGCTCTCGAATCCCGTTGCCGTTAGAAATGTCGTAGTCAAGTTCGATAATTTCTGTCAGTTTGCTCGCAGCTTCACGGCTTCTGTTAAAATGTTCCTAGCTCTGTTCAGTATGTTAAAGTCGCAGGCCTCATTTTTAAAATTCAGTATCATTTTATTTCGTATTAAAGAACGATGGATCGAATTGGTGCAGTGGTGATTAAGCTAAGTTCTGGGCATTAGGTCTCGTGTTCGAACCATGCCTTTGAAGCCTATATTCCTTTTTGTCATATTATTACAGCCCAGTCCTTTGCAGCCTGCGCTTGGCCCGCCCAGCCCGCGCGCGGCCCGATCACGCCGGCAGCAGTTAAGGCCCGCAAGCCCGTGACCTAGCCCGAAGGCCCGCACCCTTGTTCTCTTGTCAGGCCATGTCTTGGGCCTATCTCTCCTCAGCCGCGGCCCAATTAGGTGCGCGTGGCCCAAAATTCTGGCAGCTTGGGCCAGTGTTTGAGCAGTCGGCCCAGTTCAACTTTTTAAGCTTAATTTATGTTCTGGAGCCGTTTTTCGCACCAATTTCGATTTTAAAAATTATTTTCAAACTAGAAAAATTTGGGAAAAATTATTTTAAGTCCCGAGACTCCAAATTAATTTTCCGGGTCCTATTTTGCAAAAATGAAAGAGTTCCAAGTCCACGAAAAATCCGATTAAAACCCTTAAGTCTTAATATTTATTAAGTATGGGTTTTATGTTAAATGCGAGTAGTGAGATAGATTATTAATAAATTATCTCGCTTAAATGTAGGTGTTTGAGGAGTCGAGCCTCATCCTACGTACTTGCTATTGTGTGCAATTTTCTACCGAGATTTCCAAGTGGGTTTACTTATAAAATTTGCTATGCCGCATGTGTTTACTTTAATGTTGGGTTGGTATAATTTAAGTATGCATGTAAACCATGTAGCCTATCGGCGTGAGCCGATTCGGCCGTCGGTACGGTTATTCCCGTCGACTGCAGTGGCAAGTCATTAGGTTCTTGTCCTTATTGACAAATCTTTCAGTTTTCGACCCCGATGTCAGATCATTCGGTTTCCGACCCCCGTGGTCTTTCGGTTTTCGATCTTGAGATCTCAAAGCTCAATCGGAGGATATTTCAATGGTTGTTCAATGGTCATTCGACTTTCGATGCTCGATCTTAGTAGCAAGTTGAAGAAAATAGCTCGAAGAGGCATTTCACTCTTGGATCGAGTTATGCTTACTCGACCAGAGTAGGGGGGACTAGATGATATAGGATATTAAACTAGACCCGGATTAATGGATAAAGCGAATACATATTGGAGGATAAGCCCACTAAGACATCTAAGCCCAACGATAGGTGTCAAGCCCAACTTGGGCCCAAAAGGTACACCCCCCTATAAAAGGGGGCCAAGGTACCTCATTCTCTCATTCTCTATTGATTCCATACTACACTCTCTCTCTCTCTCTTGATCTGAGCACTGACTTAGGCATCGGAGGCCCGACGCCGGGGCCACCCCCGGTGTTGGGTTCTGCAGGTACGGAGGCCGTTCGAGTTGAAGGAGCCCGGGTGAAACTTATTCACTTCATTGGCACCGTCTGTGGGACCCGTCAAAAAAGTCAAGCGGAGTTCCGACTGAAAAATTCGAAAACCTCCTTCTTCTTCACCGGCCACCGCCACCGCCGGCCTCTGCCGCTGGCCGCCAGAAAACGTGCTCTGATCGGAAAATCGTTTACATCATTGGATAGATCACCTCGAGGTGAGTCTCCCTTGAAAATTTCATGCGAAAATTCCTCCGGGACGGTCGTCAATTTTGCGGTCAAAGTTTCCAGATCTAGCAAAAAATCGGTCAAAATCGTGCGTTCAAATGCATTTTCTCGACGATCCGTGAGGGCTATGGAAAATCTGAGGGCATCACCAGAATCCTCTCGCTGAGGCGAAGCTCCAGCTACTGACCATTACCGAGCGTCGCCGCCCGCCGCCATCGTGCGCCACCGCCTCCGCCGCCGACCGCCAACCGCCGCCCAAGGTCATCCGATCTGAAAAGTTCTTACGCCATTGGAAAGCTCTCGTCATGCAAATTCAAACCTTAAATTTTCAAGTAATAATTCCACCGGGAAGGCCGTTGATTTGTCGGTCAAAATTTATGGATCTAAGAAATGGGTGGTCAACTCCGGTCATCTCCTTCATTTTGTCGGCTATTTTCCGGCGAATCACCTCAACCCAAGGGCACCACCGAGTTCTCTTCACCGGGGCGCGCGCATTTCAGGTCATATTCGTCGGAGCCGATAACCTTTCGTCGGCCTCTTTTTTCTGACGAGTTGCACGCTGCTCGCAACCAGCTCTCTTGATGGTGGTCTGTTCCATCCGACCCGCGTTCATTAGCCCGCATCCATTGTCCATCCAGCCCACCAGCCTGACGCGCGAGGCCCAGCTCATTCCAGCAGCCCGCGCCCATTCTACCGTGGAGCCCCAGCGTGTGGCCCAGAAGAGGAGGCCCAACAGCATACAACCCATTGTGAGAGAAGTCAACAGCTCGCGGGCCGTACCCAGCCCGCTTGGTCCGCGCGCCTCTTTGATTCAAGCCCGCGAAGCCCAACCCCCAGCCCGCGCCAGGCCCGCGTCCAGCCCGCTTTTCCCTCAGCAATCGGCCCGCAGGAGCCCAAATTCAGCCCGCGACAGGCCTGCGTGCTGGCAAGCCCAAACAAGGTGGCCCAACCATCGTTTCAACGGCCCAACTCCTCGCATCTGCGGCCCAACTGTGTGTATTTGCACCCCAGCGAGTTTTTTGGTGGCCAAGTGAATAAACCCAGCCCCTCCAACGGCCCAAAATTATATAAGCAGCCCTATTTTCTGCCCAAAATTAATTCGAGACAATTAAAAGTGAACGGTCAGATAATTTGAGATATTACTCTCGTAGCGGAGGTATGTGACTAATTTAAATTTGGAGGCATGAGGATTTAAATTGGTGATATCGACTTGAGGATTATTTGCTTGGCTCGTGTTGGATCATGTGATCTATTCGTGAATACGCATGAATACTATTCGATTGGGTCGGGATATTATTAAATTTGATTTATTGGAGTATACATTTAATTTGCTCGAGGAGATATTACTTGATTGATTTGTGGAAATATTATGTGGTTTATGCGTAGATATTATTTGAGTTGATCGAGGATACATTATTCAAATAATTCATGGGAGATTATGCGACTTTTACGTGGAAATTATTTGACTTATTGGAGGAGAATTGTTTAATTTGCTCGAGATATTATTCGATTTATTCGTGGATGTATTTGATTTACCCGAGGAAGTGCTATTTTATTTATCTGTGGAGATGTTCGACTTATTCGAGGAGGTATTATTTGATTTATTTGTGGAGGTATTTGATCTAAGGAGGTGCTATTTGATTTATTTGTGGATGATTATTTAATTTATTAAAATTATGCGATTCAGTTTCTTGATATATCCGAAACCGCTGATTTGAATTTTCTTGTTAAAATGTTGACTTTGTTGAAATGGGTTATTCGTAAACATGTCATTGCTCGAGAAGGTCTTAAATCGAGGAGATGGCGATGCTTTTATTTGATATCTTATTTTTCTGGCATGGAGAATTGCAAGATGGATGACTTGAATATAATACAGATAATGATATCTTTTTGAATTTTTGTCGAGGAAACAACAAAATAACCAAAGTCTCGACAAGCTATGGTGGGCGAACCGTTAAGTGTCGAGGATAAAATGGACGAGCATGGATCCATCAAAACGAGGGTGATAATGAAGGACAAACATGGATGATATAGGTCACCGGTGGCGATCTCAAAGGCAGAAATCATTCTCTTTTGGGAGAGATAAGACGATTTGGAGTGGTATTCTCAATCGTCAGGTACAAAACTATTCTCAACTCTTGATTTGGTGGTCGAGTTTGATCGACACATGAATGTTTGAACATTTTTGGCGAAATTGATGGCATGGTGAGGTACATGGGCATGTTTGGATTATCATTTCGATGATTAACAAAAGG